GTATGCAGGAGGAGAAGCGTGCCAAATTGGAGATGACTTGGATGGGAAACGAATCACAATAGTGTGCATTGCTTTGTCAATGCACACAGATAAATACTTTTGCATGCTGTTGTCTATGAACACCTGCTGAAACTGGTCGGTTCCTGAAGCCTAGTCTACAGTAACTGTTTGCAACCTCTGAGCTCGAAGGAAGTTTAACTTAATTATCTTACAGTGTCAGGGTGAAACAGATCTAAAGAAGTGCATCCATAAAAAATACCTGTCTTCAGTGATTAAATCTCACCTGCRTGATGCACTGAACAAGTTCCAGCAAAGTTCTGGTCGCTGTTAAACTGGAAAAACAGTAGCAGATTCTAAACAAACCACTAACTGGCTTCAGCCTTCAACYTCAGATTTATTGCTCATCTAATCATTTTTTAAATAAACCTGCACACATAATTCTCCTGTTCTCAGCCACCAAGCATCAAGTGCTCACCTCCCACCTGGCAGCAGAGACTCCTCTTCTCAGTAGTTTTAGTGCGACTCTCTCAGGATCTGCATAAAAACATAATATCTAAAAATTCAGAAGCAAATCTTCTCAACATTCTGAGACAAGAACTCTTTTTTATAGACTCTCTGCTTGAGCCGACTTTAGCTTCAAACTAGAAATTAAAAAATATATATTTTCTTGTGTTACAGGTTTTATTTTTGGGTTCAACTTTCTTAAAATATGACAGCAACAATTCCTGAAGCCTATCTGTGTGTCAGGATCTAATAACATTCAACCACATTGTGATATTTTATTGCACAATCTGACTTTCTACAATATTTCACAACRACTAACTTTCACAAGTCCTAAATAAAAAAAATCTTTAGTTTCCAAATAGTGGTCTAACCCCAGTGTGTCAACAACACAGGACCCTCTAGGTTCAGTTTGTCAGTCATCTCTGAGATATAAATACAGCTGAGAGACGTCAGATTTCAGATCGTTTCTGCAGAACTCTGATAATGAAGGTAAGTTAAATTCCAGCTTTTCTTTACCGTCCTGTTTCAGACTCCACTAAAGTTAGAAATGTTCCCACTCTGCTTGTCTGTAATAAAACATCTGTGCAGCTGCTGTCTGTCTTCATCCTGGTTCCTCTGGTGACCAGCTGTTCGGATCTGGTCCTCCCTCTGGACTGCAGAGACCTGTATGTTCAGGACAGCAGCCGGCCCAGTGGAGTTTACACCATCTACCCCATCGGAGCCACGTCAGCTGTCCAGGTACTGACATTCCGACTTCTCAGTCCGAAAGCTCACCTGGTCCTCCTAAAAGTCTCTCAGCTGATCCAGAACTCAGCTGCATGAATGTTGACAGAAACAGAACTCACATCATTTCTAAGGTGCTTTATAAACAAAGTCTGATTAAATCWGTGTTTCTCTGTGACTCAGTTTATWTGAGCAACAAACTGAACCTAGTTTACAGTCAATGACCAAACACACAAATCATCTCAAAACCAACAAACAGGTGTCCTTTTAGTTTATAAAATAGTTTATATGCAGCAGATGTTTGACGGTTTGTATCTCTGCAGGTGTTCTGTGACATGGACTCACTACAAGGGCAGTGGACCGTGAGTATTTATACTTCTAACACCACTTTATGATGGGAAACAATTGTTTAGAGACAAACTACTGAACACATACTAAAAATGTACATTAGAGACGTGATGAAAAGCTCAAAAGCACAACTGTGTACTTTTCCAATGGGTCCAAAAGTTCTACTTCCTGTTCCAATGTGTGTAAAAAATTAATTAATGTGTGTTTAGTTTCTAAAATATGTGTTTATAATTGTTTTAGTTTCCCTAATTTAACTTAAAATCTMATTTTCTTCTCTTGCTGAGTGTGTTAGCTTAACTAGCAGCTTTAGTTTAGCATTCATATGGCGCTAAAACACATTAGCATGCTAACACGCTAGTTAGCATTCCATATATGTACACACAATACATTAAGGTATAAAACAAACATTTGAAGGTACTTACCTCACGATTTATTTCAGAACTTCTTTACGTCTGGATTCACAAAGTACAGGACTGAGTTTCTCTCTCTAAGTTAGCCGGTCACACACAGGGGGTAAGATACACTTAACAGGACTTGGTCAACGCTCTCACGTTGATCTTAGCCCCGCCCCTCCCGTTCTGATTGGACATATCAGATACAGTAGCCAATAAAAATAAAGAACAGGCAAACAATGCCTCCCAGTGATTGGCTGTGAGCTGAGCTCACATCCAACRTGAACTGTTTATTAACCACATATTATGCAGGTCAACAAAATAATATTGTTTTGCTCCAAATTAACATAAAGGTAATTAAACTCTGAGTAAAAGGAATAAAATGAATTGTTCTAATCATAATTTAATTTATAGTCAAACTGGAAAAAAAACCCTAAAAGGTCAGAAGAACAYAAAACTTGGTAAATATGTGAACCAATAAATATTTAATATGTGAATAAATAATTTACAGAAGCCACATTGAAAAACTGAATGTTGAGTTTATCTTTAAAAACAAGACGTATCAGCTGCTCTCCAACATGAATCTAGTCAGAAGATCTAAAGGTTATTATCCATATTCAGCCTAAATTATTGGGTTTGTKTTTATTCAGAGCAAACTGCAAATAGAAAGTTCTTAGTTTGTTTCTCTAACAGTAAATTTAAAATATTCCTGCAGACTGTGACTCTGAACAAACCTTTGAGTTTCACACTGTTTCAATAAATTACTAAAAGCTGTTTTTTCTATTTAGAAACAGCTACAGGTCCTATCTACTTGTMTTCACGGACATAACTTTATATACTTAAAGGGTAAAACATGTAGACTGGATGGGACCTCTCTGAGATCTGCTGTGTTTCTGGTTAACCACCTTCACGTCTCCTTCAGGTGTTCCAGAGGAGGATKGACGGCTCGGTGAACTTCTACAGATCCTGGGATCGGTACAAGATGGGCTTTGGAAATGCTGCTGGAGAGTACTGGCTCGGTGAGACCTGAACCCAAACCAGCAGACACGAAACTCCAACAGAACCAACAACGAACTGATGGAACTTCAGGAAGTTCAGTTTCTCCATGTTTCCAGGTCTGGAGAACCTGTTCCACCTGACTCAGAGGAAAAAGTAYGAGCTGCTGGTGGACATGGAGGACTTCGAAGGAAACAAGTCGTACGCTCGGTACTCCTCGTTCTCCGTCGGACCAGAATCTGACGGCTACAGACTGCACCTGACTGGGTTCATCAACGGAGGGGCAGGTGGGGAAAAAACATCTGATGACGGTTGTAAAAACAAACTAACCATCAACATGAWTAACTGTTAGGATCATTTTGTTGACTTGTGTTTCTGCAGGAGACTCTATGAGTCACATCAGTGGAGAAAAGTTCTCTACGTTCGACAAAGACCAGGACACCTGGGAGAAGAACTGCGCTCAGTCGTTCATCGGGGCCTTCTGGTACTCCAACTGCCACTCTTCAAACCCTAACGGACTTTACCGCTGGGGGGCCGACGGGTCTCTGAACGCTGTTGGAGTGGAGTGGATCAGCTGGAAGGGACGGGACTACTCCCTGAAGGCCATCAGCATGAAGATCCGCCCCGTGGAGTAAACCTGCAGAACCACGGTCCAGAACTTCATCCACACGTGGAGCAAACTGTACCTGGGATTAAAACTGGACTCTACTCTGAGTTCTTCCTGAAAACTCAACTTACGACTAAAGCTATATTATCATTTGTTCAGATAAAATGTTTTTATTTCAGTTATGTTCAATATTTTACTGTTTTATGATTGGACGGAGATGACTTGTTACATTTTGGGGCAGAATGGAAGTCAGAATCTGTCCATGGGCCTAGAACAAAGTCTGTTTGTAAATCTTTTATCTAATAAGTGTAAGAAAAAACACTTCCTGTTCCTCTGCTGGCGGGAGTCCAGCTCCAGTTTCTTGTTTTAGAGATGTCCGAAGGTTCAAATCAGCTGAAAGTTTCTCCACATTTAGTTTTTCCTTTAAAWGTCTGTTTATTTGTAGTCTGGTTGTGCAGAAACACTGAAGTTTGCTGTATGTAAAATACCCTGTCATGTTCTATTAAAKTCAAATAACCTSATGTAAAAAACATGATGTTAATAAATAATCTGACAATAAACGAGATGAGATGATCAGAGGTTTAAAAGAAGCTCATTCTCCTTCSTGGTGGATAATTACTGCTCTCTAGTGGCGGCTGCAGATAGAAACTACCACAGATATGGAAACCACAGCACAGTAAAAATGTGTTTTATCAACTGACAGGAATAAATGCTTTRTTGCCATTTTGTGGCTAAAATAAGGAGCAACAAGTTGAAYCAGCAGAACTGATGTTAGGCAAACTGTACTTCATGTGAGTGCAATGAAATTCAATTTTTATTTTAATTTCAGGCACGTTTTTGTTTCAACCTTTGAACAATTTACCAAGGATTCAAGGAGACTTTATTGTCATTTGCATCACATGCTTTACAATAATTGGAACAATAGAATAATATAGTATATGCTGTTAAGTGTCAGGAGGACTGTGATTAGTCATACACTGGGGAAACAAAACAGCCACTGGTCAAAACGCAAAAAGAACAAACATTCAGCTCGGGTGGGCCCTCAGAGCTCCTGTAGACTCTGAGGGTGAACAGATCAGATGAGATCTTTGTTAGAAACTTCAGTCTGCAAGGAGGAGGGTGAAATGTATCCCTTCAAGGAATGCTGGGCCTTTTTTTTACAAAGTGATTCTTCAGATTTAATCTGTTCAGAAAATAGTTAGGTTTGTAAAAATGTCTTTTTTGTCCATCAGGAGTTAAAAAGGAACCCTAAAACAGTAAAACAGTTTAAAACAATTTTTACTTGCAGATCAGAACAGTCAGTAATCTAAACCCATTTGTCTGCCTGTTCCTGGAGGTTTTAAATGGCCTCGCTGCCTCTGATGGACTTCAGCTCCTGCTCGGTGGTGGACTGACTTCCTGATGAAGACGCCGTCTTCTCGCCTCCGTCCCGCCTGCAGCGCAGGGCRCTGGGCATCGCTGCCAACAGGGCCTTCCTGAACATGGAGCTGGAGAAGACGTAGACCACTGGGTCCAGAGCCGAGTTCAGGAAGTTGAGACCCAAAGACACGATGGTGAGCTGRGTGAAGGTGTAGAAAGCGTCGCAGTCCCACGGGCGGAACGACTTGATGACCCAAACGCCGATGGTGGTCACCGTGGTGGGCAGGAAACACACTATGAACACGGCCACGATGGCGGCGCACATTCTCATGGCCTTGCGCACCTTGCCTGGTTTGCCCATCTGCCTCTTCTTCAGGAAGCTGGAGATCCGGATGGAGCAGAACAGCAGCATGGCCATGGGGATGATGAACTCCAGCACCGTCAGGATTCGGTGCATGCTCACCAGGATGATGATGGCGCGGGACGCCTCTTTGTAGGAGGTGAAGAAGAAGCACTGGGTCTTGTCCCCGCTGCCCTTGATGTGGCTGTAGGCCAGCATGGGGACCCGAGGACCGATCACCAACATCCAGACGAACACGGACACCACCGCAGCCTGACGCTTGGTCATCTGGTTGAAGCGATGGTGAGGATGGACCACCTGGAACAAGAAAAAAACTGGATTAGTTTTGAGTTTTAATCCATCTTGTCCATCTGGTCTTTTTTTCCTGCTCTCGGAGGAGTAAGACGCTTCTTCCTTCTCTCCTGCCCTTCCTTATCTTCCCTGCTTTGCATCCGAAATTAGAAATCATGGATGTTTTTTATTTTTATGAATTTGGTTAGCTGGTGTCTCAATAAAATTTTTGGAACAAAGTTTTTTCTTCTTTCATGGGAGGACATGTCAAAGGTGGGACCTCTGTTCTTCACTGTTCTGGATTTATGTCTGGACTCTGATCACTGGATTCCACAGATTGGCCTGTGGTCTCCTGGTGTTCTGCAAATCAGCGTCGGTAGCTTTTCATCTCCTGGCTGACTGACCAATTCGATGGGTGGCCGTATTCTATCAGAACTCAGACATTTTGCCTTGAGAGAGTCKGATTCGGTCTGCAAGCGGTTCTATTGAGGGTCGCGGGCTGGCTGTGGTCCCTGGACTTTGCTGGCCATATGGAATTGATCTTGGAGGAATCTGATAGATACGGGCTCAGCCGATTTTGTCCACACCATTTTGCCTGATTGGGATTGCCACCTTGAGAGTACCAGCCAAAACTCTAAAGCAGAAAATTGTTTATCGTCTGCCTGTCTCTTCTGTTCCCAAAACAACTGATTACAGAATCTGGATCTCCCCGACAATGGCCTTGGATCTGTTGACTAAATTCTTCCTGGCTGGATATGTCGACAAAGCTCTGCTCCCAACCTTCACCCCTCCTTTCGCCTGTCTAATCTGCTTTTCCAGAGCTGGCTGAAAGCTGCACAGAAATTAACAATTTTCCATCAATATTTCTGAACTGTAGCTGCGCTGGTTTTGGGGGACTGGATTCTTCGGGCCCCCTTAAACTCACTTACTCCTCTGGCTAATAAACTTGCTCTATGCAGAGGTTTTTTCATTAACACCATAGTGTGTCACAGTGTTGATATAGTATGATGTTTTTGCTTTTTTCCTCACCTTCCCTTCTCTTGTGTGATTTTCAGTTTTCTTTGTCTCTAAGTTGACGCCTCGGCAGGCTGCCTCTTACTGCAACTCCACTGTTTTGAGCTGCTGTAATGTTCAAATTTCCCCACTGTGGGATCAATAAAGTTCTATCTTATCTTATCTTATCTTATCTTATCTTATCTTATCTTATCTTGATGTCTTTGTGATTTGGAAATAAATTTGATTCTGCAGAAAACTTTTAATAAATCAAAGATAAAACAAAAACCGATTGTTGTAAACCCAAACACAACCCTATGATGTGTCCTATCTGGTCTAAGAGCYCGATGGACACGGTTCTCCTTCCTCACCTTCATGTAACGGTAAATCGCCACCACGGTCATGAGGGCGATGCTGGCCGATCGGTTGGAAAACATCAGGAAGAGGTTGATGCGGCACATGCCGTCTCCGAACACCCAGTGCTGCCGGAGCAAGGCGTCGATCCTCAGAGGCAGGCTCACCAGGGCCAGGAAGTCCGCAATGACCAGGTTGAAGAGGAACAGGGCGTTGGGGTTCCAGGACTTCAGCCTGAAGCAGAAGATCCACAGGGCCACTATGTTTCCCAGGAACCCCAGGGTGACRTCCACGATGAGGATGGGGGGCATGATGAGCCCTTCCAGCTGGATGCCCACCGGGGGGCAGCCTCCACCTGGAGCTGGGGTCGTCAGGTTTGTGGTAAGGTTTGTTTCTGTGGCCATTTTTTAAAATTATAACTCTCTAATCTGAACAAATCTGAGCAGTGACAAAAGACAGAACTGTTTTCATATGCTGGAATAAAAATAACTCTGGTCTTAAACAAATACGGAACAAAACTTGTGTCATCAAACTGAAGAAAGTTTAGAATTTCAGGAAGGCAGCAAACTTCCTCTTTTCTTCTATTTGCATCTGTGTAACAGAAAAACACAAAGAAAGACTCAGAAATTAAATTATTCTACTTTTTTGTTAAAAATAAAATATGTCAAGAAGAAAAAAACAAATACAGATATTTAAGTTTAAAATGTTTATTTAAAAACATTTTCTCAAAATTAAGATTTAAACTCATATAAATAATAAAAAATTCACTAAACAAGAAAAATGTTTGTGTACTAAAATTAATGGCAGCTCGTTTTATTTAAACATAAAACACTGACAGTTAAATAAAATAGTCCATGACTCACCATTGAAAGGGTTGAAAACACAGTTTTGTAAAGAAGAAGAACTGCAGAGCTGACCTGGACCAGCTGGACTCAGTCTAGATCTGTTTGAAAACAGATTCGTCACTTGGATTTTCTGGGTTTTTAAACTGTTATTGCTTCAATCTGGGAACATCAACAGGAAGTTTCACAAACATCTGATTCCCTTCCTTTGCCTCTAAGTTCTTCTAAATATGTGCTGCCTGAAACCTTCACCATCAGTTTTAGAGTTTTAAAACGATATATTAACTAAACTCTTCATTTAGTTGTTGTTCATTCTGAACATAAAAGCCCAAATGATGAAAAGTTAAAAGAAGCTCAGATATTTTACTCATTTGATATAAAGTCTTTTACAAAATAAAAGCATTTATTGCCACCAGCAGCTGCTACTCTGACAAAACCACAAACATTTTTTTAAAAAGTTCCTTCAAGGAGTGCATATCACCGCCCATCCACCACCACCACCACCCCTCCAGAGGTCTGTAAAGTTCTTGAAAAAAAAAAGTGAAATTAAAAATACCTTAACAGAAAATGACTTTGGTAAAAAAAGAAATTGATTGATGAAAAAAGTACTTAAGTAAAAGTCATAAAACTGTTCACAAAAATCTGGAAAGTATTGTTGAAATTGAAAATTGTTGAATTTACTGAACCAAACTGGTTCCACTAAACCAAGTTGAATAAGTTGAGCAATATTACACAAAACATGTATATTGCTTCATTTAGTAAAACCAGTTGACATAACTTGGTTGAGTAAATTCAACTTTATTTTTTTAGAGCAGAAACAATTCCGTTTGTGATGAGTTCGGACATGGTTAATTTTGTAACGAGTAACTAACTGTTAAAATTTAAAATAAAGAAGTAAAAGCATCTTTTTTAGGTTTTAAATGTAAAAAAAACAAAAGTAAAAAAAATAAAAGTAAAGATGAAAAAATACTTGGTAGATTTACAAATCCTCAAAAAATACTTAAGTACTGTAATGAAGTAAATGTACTTTGTTACTATAAACCTCTGCCCACCTCAGAGTCTGTGTTGGGGATGCCTCTCAGCTACAGCAGGTTTGAGCCTCTAACTGAGGCAGACATGTTAGTTTAATTAGCTGCGGCGGCCATCTTGAATCAGGTACACTCATTAATCACTATATTTTCACCAAAATCCACTATAACTGATGTGATATTTTTCTAACAGACAGACAAACACATGGATAACTATCATCATTTGTTCACAGTGGGTGGAGAAATGAGACCAAACATGATGTTTACCCAGAATGCACTGCAGCAAACAGCTCCTGTCTGTCAGCACGGAGGTGGAGGGCTGATGGTTTGGTGAGTGGACCACTACTCTGCAGACCAAAGGGTCTGACAGTGAAAGAAGCTGGACTTTTGTTTGGGTTTATTTTATGAACTGATGAAAAACTGTGATTTAAAAATGATTTTAATCTCAGAGCTCAGATCCTTTTCATACGGTTAAAATATTTAACAATTCTTGATGTTTGTTTGATTGATCCAGGAGTTTTGTTAATTAACTTTATTAAACAAAAGGACTGACGGAACTAGAAGATAACATGGTGGAGAAGCGAACATGGTGTGACCACACACGATGAGAGAACAGAKACATAAACACAAACTATAAAATCTAAAAACCCAAGTCTGACTCACCTGGTTCTGCTCACYTGAAGTAAGTCCGGTTAGTTTGTGTCTCTTATCTGGCCTTTATTTTATTATTWATTTATTTTGTGTTTCTGCAGATCTGTGTTCAGTTTCTGAACATTCAACCTGTGTACAGATTATTATTTAAAAACACACACAGGTGTGTGGTTCTCAGCTGTTCTTGGGTCAAAGTTTCCTGTCAGATTGTCTCTCTGAGGTCACGCAGGTCATCATGTGACCAGTTTATGAAAGAAGTTTCTGCTTTGGTGAAGAAATGAATGAGGAAGTGTTGAAAACAGAAAATTAGTTTTTTTGTTGCTTTTAAAGAAATCAGCAGATTTATTATTTTGAGACACTTGATGGAAAAGATTCTGTTGCTTCAGTTCTGAAATTTTATGACTTGTCGCTTTATCTGTTCTATGAGATAGTGTTTTTTTTATGAGTCAGCGTTTTGACTCATCAAACGTTTTATATCATTGAAATAAAAAAAATCTTCAAATAAAGACCTAGAATCCACCCAGAGTTTYAAACTCATTTTCTGATGAGAAATGGTGGAGTTTCGGCCATATTGGTCAGATCTAAAGATAACAGACTGTTGGTAATGACTCTCAGCTACTACCACACCAAGTTTTATCTCAACATCTGTTCACCTGACAGATGTAACCACCATAGTGTCCTCTAATGATTAAGCAGGGCCGGCAGTAGTATGAGCAAATGCTAAGGGTGCTCCATCGTCCACCTGGGGGCTCCACAAATGGGAGATGAAAAAACATATTTTATAACTTTTTATCAGAGAAGAGTTGATTTAGTCTGTAAAAATAATCACTGGTGACTCAATCACATTGTCAGGTGTTTTAGGGGCGGGGCCACTGGKCCATTGACCCCAGCTTAAATGTGATTGGCCCTCTGAAGTGCCCCTGTCCTGTCACTTATCTTTCTTTTACATTAGAGCAATGATGCTGGATGTTCTCACATGCTGTGTGTTTGAGAGTATTTTATCTACATACAGTAAAAATGTCTGAAAACTGGTAAGGAGAATTTACYGTGGAAACCTTTTTAATTACATTACAAGTGTTTGAATGTGTGACTGGTCAAATGTATACACTTTACCAAAACCAGGGATTTGTGTGTAAGGATGTTGAACTAATACTTGGCCCCTGTGAGAAAATTGTGGCCCCTTAGCCAGAAAAATCCTAGACTTGCCACTTTCTACAGTTAATTTGTTCTATGAGTTTCTCAGCCTGGTTGTTACTGCATGAGTTATAACTATCTTATTTGGACGACCTGGTTTCTAAAGATTAAAATAATGTCAAAAACAAAGCTATAAT